CATGTTCTTGTCAAGTGACCCATGGAGACTGCCCATGCCAATTTTCATGCCTATATCACCAACCAAACAATAACATCACTTAATTGTTTGACCAAGGTGGCGGCCATCTTGAAAAATGGCCGCCAACTTTAAATTTTAAGTGGCTGGGCCAATTTTCTTTTCAAGTGACCCATGGAGACTGCCAATGCAGATTTTCATGCTTTTATCACCAAATGCATGATTCTGCCTAAAATCAGCTCTTAGCCGCTCCACTGCTGTCTAAAATATCAAGATCTTAATAGTCAGAAGTTGTACTACATGTTTTAAGAGGGCACATTATGCTTTGAAAAAAATCTGACATCTCTGTGTACCTCAACAATCTGTTCTGAACGTCTCAGAGCACATTCAGTTTCACTTTTTATACTTTCCATAAATGTATTGGCATGGTGCAGCTTTGAGGGATTTCTGTGTGTTTATAGTTTTGCTGGATTGCTTAAAGTATTGTTGTTTAAGCACACGCACATCGTAGTTTGGATTGGCTGCGCGTGATGTTTTCCTGGATTATGTTGAATTAGAACCACAGTTAACATCTTTGTCGTATGAACGCGTTTGAACATGAACAAACAAATTCCCAAACGGAAAAGTGAAATCTGTAATCCCAAAGTAAGCAGTTGCTTAATGTTATTCTGTAATTCAGAAACACTCCATGCTACCTAATTACTAAACTGTCACACCCTCAGCTGCAGAATGGTTTGTAATGGTGGATTTAGATTTCACATATTTGCTTTCCTATGCTGGCTTTTTGAGACATAGCTGCCATTATGGTTCCTTGTTTTTGTCTTAACATCTTATCCCATCATAATATCCGCTTGTAGGTTTAAGTGAATTGCACCCTCTACTGGCCATAGTGGAGACACATGTCAATAACCAACAGCATATATTTTTATGTCAGCCTCAACATGGTTAACGAGTTTCATTCTCTCAACATAAAGTAAAAAAAGCTGCTCAATGTAGTGACTGATTTTAGTGGTCAAAGGGACATGGCGTCCATGTATCTCATCAGTACACTTCCAGAATCCAGAAGTTTCTTTTACTAATTAAAGGCATAAGATGTGACGTGAACATTCTCCTCATCAAACACAGATTACTTTAACTGCGACAGCTATGGAGAATCAAACCCTTTCTTCCTGGATGTGGACAGGACCACAGAATATTCTATACAGCCTTACTTACCTATAAACATGCAAATTAAGGCTTTTTATTCAGACTGCTGTTTACATTGTCGAAGTTTTGACAACAATTTATGTGTTTTCTGTGATTGTATGTATTTATTGCTCAGTCTTTTGGATGCCTTGGTGTAAGAAATGATAGGGAAATCAACTTTTTATAATATAAACATAATGTGATAATTGAACTTCATGTTTACAGAAAGGAGTTGTGTCTGAAATCACTCCCTTGTTCACCGATTATTATTGTTTATGTAATAAAACACTTGTAGATTGATCCTGAAGCAGTCACTCAACTGTAACTATACCAGTTATCTGGAAGCTGGTGAAAGGAGAACTCAGGCAGCAGCTGATGTCTTATGCAGAAGATTTTAATGTAGACTTCATGCATCGAGGAGACCAGAAGGTGGAACAATATACAAACAGAGTAACATGAGCAACTGTTACCCCCACATCTGAAGATGTCTCCCACAGCTTCCCCAGATATCTCCCTCTACTCTTGTCACCCAATTTAACAGCACATCCATGGAGGATAGAAATGCTGTAACTCTATGTCACATGTTGTTCACACCCTATTGGATAGTTAAGCCAAAAGCATGCATTCCTAAATCACACTGTATCCTAAGGTCTTGCCCCTGCTGTAATTAAGAAAAGAGTTGAAGTTGGTGCCTCTCTGTCTGGGAGTTAGATATGAAAGTCCCTAAGCGTAGACACTACCGTGTACAGTCGGTTGGTCCTTTATCTATAACCTGACCTTGGTACTGCTTGTGGAATAAGACAGGTACCATTCTCCTGTACATATATAGTGTAATATACAATATACATAATAGACAGTGGCATATTCAGGAATGTGTGAGGATGGTCAAAAAATCCTCAACAACAGAGAGTGACTTAGGACATGGTCTGCCCCACCTACATCATCTCTGGCTGAGTCACAGAGGTGAACTCAGCCAGAACAGTCCAATGTCCATTTAAGCGACCTGTCACCATACATTCCAATATCCTGTTACACAAGCACATTGGAATGTATGAACCTAAGCATATCGAAATTTAAAATCCAAAGCATATACAAATGTTTAAACCCAAGCACATAGAAATGTATAAACCCAAGCATTTATACATGTATAAACCTAAGCATATATAAATGTATAAACCCAAGCACATAGAGATGTATAAACCCTGTAGACTTTGAGCACTCACTGAACGTGTTTCTTAAAGGTTCAGTGTGTAAGATTTAAGTGAAAGGGATCTATTTTTTTAAATGTATGAATTGTTCTTTTCTTTACCCTATAATGGGCCTTTTGTCTATAAATGCTTTATATCTACATCTGGAGCGAGTTCCTCTCTATGGAGGCCTCCAGGTTTTTTCAGGTCAGCTGTTAATTCGGTTGCTGGCTAATTTCACAGTATGTAATCCATTGTTAACACACAGTGTCAATACTTTGCAGTTTTTGTTCATCTACTCATCTCTAACTCAGACACACTGCAGTATTTCTATTTGGGTAATATATGTTTATGTCCAACAATGAGGTTGCGCTTTCCTCAAGGATTGCACAAAAAGCTTACTGAACTGATTTAAAGTAAGTCCGGATCAGAGGGCGGAATTGTTTTCCTCTAATTTTAAAATTGTGTGATAGGCCAATTTTCAATGTTTTCATTTGATTTCTCTATGCTGTGCAATGTGGTGCAGATCCATATAAAAACCCAGATCTAGTGAATTTGATTGTGGTTTCATGATGAGTTGGCGGAGGTATTCACTCGACTGAATATTATTCTAGTTTGGTTTATGTTGAAAACAAATTGTTTTATTTATTCTAATCTATTGTTTTAACTTTTTATTTTAGAATTCATTCACTTGTGCAAAAAGTTAAGTGGAATCACCTTACTGTGCATAAAAATTTGTGAATGGCTTCCTTCACACAGTCCTCACTTTCTGTCAGCGAACTGTGCAGCACTTTGGAACCAGGCCTTCTCTGTCTGCTTCTTGCCGAGCTCCCAGAGATCACGGAGAATTTTGTTGCCCTTCCTGGATGTAATAAGCAGATACTCTGCATTTTCTGGATCCAAAGTCACGGAGTAACAAGCTAAAAGCAAAGACTGACAGAAGCGACACAGCACCAGCACATAGAGACAATCTTTCTCCACTTCATTGAGGGGAAAGACACTTTCCCAGCCTGCGAGGACAGGTCCGCCGACCTCAATGGGGTTAGGGTGCTCTATCATCATGTACATGATAGCGATGGCTAACTCATGGATGTAGTAGCCGCTGTTCATGTCCCCAAAGTCAAGGATTCCAGAAATCCTGTAGCAGTCAGTCTCATCAGGCTGCATGAGCACATTGAGGTCATTGAAGTCGCCGTGGTTAATGCCTTAGAAAAGAGAAATAATAATGGATTTGTTCAGTGAACTGACAGACATTATCCACCATTGTATTCAGTGACATACAGGATCAAAGTGACCCTCGACCAACCCCTTGATCACATGTTGATCGCACTGTTGCTCTCTACTTTTGCATTAGTCTAGTGTAATAACTTGATTGTGATTGGCCCATGCTCACATGTGCACCCTGAATGACAGGCACACAGAGAGGTGCAATAAACAGTCACACAAGCAGGGTCTGTAAAAACTTTACGGAATTTTTGACAGTCAACCAACCAACTGGGATTTGTCCTGTTTGTCCTAAATAACAGATGAGTGCTGCAGTCATAGGGTTCCACAAGGATATAAGGTAGAAAGCCAGGGCCACCCACGGGCACCAATGAGTAAATGTCAAACTCACACTTGCGGAAATCAGGGTACTTTTCAACCACAGAGGTCTTGTACTGTTGAATGACAGACTTCATAACCTCCTGAAGAGGGTCTCCATCCATCACATAGAGGTACCCTTCCAGGAGAGCAACATTTGACAGACTCCATTTGAACCCCTCCCTCTGCAGCACACTGAGATGAGGGTGTGTCATCTAGGGGTGAAAAACATCAGAAGTAATACTGAGAATTAGAAGGAAGAAAAAAAAAGTACAAGACAAGAAAAGGTTATTTAAGATTTGTCAGTTGAGATGTTTATCGTTTCATGGTTGATGAGTACTGAAGACATTAAGATGATGGCACTGGTGAGGGTGAAGTGCCATAACACGGTTTGAGGATTCATCACGTGAACTCTTCCCCTGAGACAGTTTCATGAAACAATGATTGGGTTTTGTCTTGCAGCATTTTACATCTACAAAACATTGGGTATTTTCAAGAAAACATTTGATGGCATTACAAATCAAAGTGAATAACTATTATACCTCGTTCAGGATTTTGTCCATTTGGGCTGCTGTTTTGCCGATTTCATACAATAATTGTGGCGTTAAAGGAAGCTTGGAAACTGTTGTTCCGGGCAGATAAGTCAACAGCCGCACCATGTACTTCTGACAGCCACTGCCACAGTCTGCGGAAGTTAAAAACGAATACATTAGATTAATATTACAACCATTACCTTCCTTCTTAAAGTCTCATAAAGTACAGTATGTGTGCTGCAGCCTTGCTCAGAGGAACATCTATCATTCCTACAGTGTTAATAATAGAGTGAAATTTATTTGCTCGCCTTGAGACAAGACATGCCCATCACTTTTCTTTATGTGCTCCATGAAGCAGCAACTAAAGCGGGGGCCCATGTCCACATATGTCCATAGAC